CAGCGATTAGCATCTAGAATGTCTGAGACTTCTCTAGCACAGAATGCAAGACCAGCTGTCTGCATCTGCTATCATCTAATTTTATACAATTGCTTGTGACTTGTTGGCCACTAATTTTTAAGCACGTAAGTAAAAGTTGCCGTATTTTACTCAAACATGGTTATTTAGCATTTGTGCACAGCTGACCCTAAAAGCAGACTTCTGGTTTTTTTTTTTTTAAAAAAAAAAGGTCTTGAGGGGAGATGAGTGTAAGTCAAATTATTCAGTCTTTAATTTGCTGGGTTTTGACAAACATTTATTAATGCAAGTCTCAGCAACAAAATTTTTTATTTCAATATTTTCAATCAGAAGGAATGTTATAGCTCTACACCACAAAGCCTGTAAGATACACACTTCTTGTTTATCCTATTTCCATGCTGCTTTGTGTATCAAACATACTCAGAACAATCTGTATAGATGGCTCCACAAGCTCCCCTTCCAAGACAGCGTGGCCCAAAAAAACTGTTAGCCTGCTTCAGTCCCCCCTAAATTATTCCATCTGTAAAGCACAAATAACAAAATATATTTTTGCTTCTAAGAGCTTCACTTATCTGCAGAAAAATAGAACTGCTTAAGAGTGAGCTAGTTAGATTATGAAAGGGTCCAAGCACACACCCGCACATTCTGGACCTCCCAACAAATTTGTGAGGAGGATGTATTCACAATTTAATCCAACCCAAAAAAAGCCAGATAGTGTTCAAAGGAAAGGAGATTCCTCCTATCCAAAATACTGAATGCCTTCTCATTCTTCTCTCTAGAGCAGGATGAGGATGATAGAGCTGTAGCTATGAAACACTTCTCTAACTACTGGGACTCATTAAGAATGAACCTTCCAAACACTGCAAAATTTCAGAAAAAACTTAAAAGGCGCTTTTTTTTTTCCTTTCCCAAAACTTAGTGAAAACAGCATACAGAGTTTGAATATCCACAGCACAAACCAAAAAACAAAGGGAATTTGATCTACAGTGCTTTTTTGTTAAGGTATTCAAAGACTCTAGTGCATTGTTTTTAGAACTAAGCTCAGAAACTATATTCCATTTTTCATTTTATTAGAAAACTAAACTGTATGAGGCGAAGAAACAATTGATCAAACACACAACAGTGAAAACATGGCACTGACAAGGCATTTAATCCAACCATTACCACACTGTTTCAGGATTCTCTATTGCTTTCACTCAAGTATACATCATTTCTGCCATGTGAGACATTTTCTTGGGAATATATAAGTAGTATTCCATGTATCCAGAAAGATCTTCAATAGTCACGTCATCCACAAAGGCTCGAGCTTGCTCAGAACAAGACCTAGGAGAACCTGTTGAGGCTGTCCCACAAGGGGATCTATTCTGAAGAGACTGGGCATGGACTCCTAGGACTGCCTTTTCGCATTCTGACAGGACGCTCCGTAAGCCAGAAAAAGAGTACACTTCCATGGTTCGCCACTGCTTGCACTGGCATTTCTTGTCCGTACAAGGGCACTGCTTGCCGTTGCTAAGCATGGATAAGGACTGGAAATCTGAGGTTTGGCTAGAATGCAAGTTAGTTTCAAAGGATGAGGAGAGAGTTGGGCAATTCTCTCTTGACTTCTCCAAAGGCTCTTCAGCAGTGAAAGCTTCCAAAGGTTCAGTTCTGTCATCACTGGTCTCGAAGTGAGAATCGTGCCTGTCCTTCGTACCGTGTTCTGCTGTAACAAAAATGTCTGAACTGATACTACTCTTTGATGTGTCTGCCTGGGTTTTGTGTTTCAGCTGGTTGTTGGCTTTCATGTTGCAATATGTAAACTTGGGAGGATGCAGGACGGGAGACTTGGAGCGTCTGCGACGTGGGACTCTTGCCGACCCTCTGGAAGGCTTTCTTGCACACCTGCAGGGTTATAACAGGTGAGCAAGTAGGTAACCAGAATCTACACCACAGTTCAATAAGCTCTAAAATGTGGCTAAAAACGTTTTAGAAGATTTTCATTTTTCTAGTTCTGCTTAGAAAAATCAGGTGACTGGTCACCTACAGTCTCTAACGGGAACAGTGGAGGAGTATGAAGAAACTGGGGCTCCCCCAAAGGAAAGACACACACAATCAGCCCTTATTTAAAGATACTTCCCCTCAAATCTTATGTGTTATCCAAACAATACATTGTCATCCCAAACTGAACTGTAGGGCAAAATCTGGATATCAGTTGGAGCTGCTGGCAGGATCGCACTGAATATCAAGGTATTTCAATTAAGAAATAAAATAACCCAAGAAAGATGTGAAAGCGCGTTGCAAAGACATAAAGACTTGAAGAAAATCACCTCTGAGGAAATTAGTGGAAAAGAGGCAATATTGTTTTTAAAGTCTTTGATGAAGTCCCCTCAGAAAACATCGTATCAAACAGTTATGGTGAAGTTTTACAATAGAAAGGAGAGAAAAGATACGTTGAAGCAACTAACAACTACTTTCATTGGAAAGAGTACAAGTGTTAAATGTCTCAAACCAGAAATGCATGCACGGCGCAGTGAATGGTATGTTTTACCCATGCCACGCTTCCTTTGAGCAGACAGCTTGTTGCTTGGCTCCATCCATGGCTGCTCGTATTGGTGTTCTGAGAATCGTCCCATCACCCATGGACAGAGCTGCAATACATCTGAGTGAAAAGGGAAATGCCACGTTACAGTAGTGCCTGAACATACTGCTTCAGAGGTCTAGCTTCAGCCTATTTGTTTTAGATGCTTAGCTAAGACATTTAAGTTTGAAGCTTTGACTACAGTCAGTGGTTAGAAACAGGATATTAGAGATTCATCTAACTGCTCTTACTATATTGACCTCAGCACAAGTGTCCAAAGATAGGTGAGATGAAATGAAAGGAGGCCAAAATACCCAGAGGCTGATGTCATGCCCTATCTGTACCAAAATGACACATTAAAGGAATGTAAACTCAGCTTCCCAACGTTCTTGTTGGACAATAGTTGTTAAAGATAGACTCTTACTCATTTAAAATGCAAAGTCAGGAACCCATAGCAGCAGGCTGAGGAGTCAGTGGAGAAACAGATGAGGTACAAAAGACAAGGACAAATTAATACTCTATTTCTCATTAAATTTCCCAGATAAACATCGAATGAAAAAAATATCTGTCCCTGGAAGTCCAAACAACAAATATAAATGCCTCAGTGCACAAATCTGTATTTATGATGGCTGTATGTGTGATTTGGAACATGGGATAGGAAATCATAAGAAATGAGGCTGAAATTCTAGCATAAGAGTCCAAGTACTCTGCCCAAAGTTGATCTTAAGGGATTAGTCACAAGACTTGAGCTGTTCAAAACACATGCCTGCGAAACAAGATCTTTTTATGCCTAAGAGGATATCATCAGGAATCAACCAGAATTCCACAGTCTGTCACTGGTAATACATCAAAAGTGGGATGCTTTAATAAGCATAGTTCCCTGTCACGAGAACAGCTGTTTTTTTTCCACATTTAATAGAAAAACTCCTGAAGTAGAGGAAACAAGTAACAAAGCAAAACATATCTTAACATGCAGAGCAAGTCATGAGTTCTCAGTATCAATGGCTATGAATTCATAAGGTAACATTAGTTATCAGTATGAAGCCTTCTCGTGTGTCTGTGAATTCCCAAAAAACTTCAAGTAAACCATCTCACAAAGTGTTAGACTGCATCATTTTATTAACTCTTACTTTCAAGGAATATGCTTATACTACATATTTCAGTATAACCAGTGTGTTATGGAATAAGCTTTTAGTATAAGAATGTCTGCATGCATTTTACTCTACAAAATCCCCTGAAATCAGAAATGATCAGTGCTCATATTTAGCCTGACAATTTCCAGTGAGTGAGAGTGGGCTCTTCAGCATGCTATGAAGTGACAGTGCTGTCCTTCAGATGCTTTCCAAGCAAATATTTGTGCACCACCGTAAAGGCTAATAATGCGGCTGAAGATGGTACCATTTACACGGATGGAAAAACAAGTTCTGTATCACACAAAGGGACTTTGGCTACCACAGCAGTTAAGACACGGTTCACTGCTTTGGGCAAGTCATTTCATGTTTTCATACTGTCACTGTGTAATTTCAGATGGATATTGTGTCAAAATTAGTCAGTAATAAGGTACTGCTTTGCTTATTGTACAGTTATAATGACTCCATTTCATGTGAAGTGATGCAGTTGTCTCCTCTTGGCGAGTAAGAAGCCTTTCACCAAATCACATTTGTTTTCAGATTCAAAGTAATATAAAACAAATACAAACATGTAATAAAACCCCATCAAATACCATGGTCTTTTTTGTTGCTCACTTACCCTGCTGCATCCACTCTCAGCTTTTTGAAAGCTGTCTGCAGACTCTCCTCCTCTTCATCTTTAGCTTCCAAGTCCATTGATGGGCTCTCAGTGTGTAACCAACCGTGCCATAAAGAATAAGCTGAAATACAAAAATTAGGTTCTGATGTTGAGGTCTGAACGCACAACGTCTCTACAAAACTGAAATGACACGAGTAAGGGATGCTCGTTCTTCTGCGGGCAATCTCTGGGCGTTCTGCTCAGACCGGCCCAGGACTTTTCACCGTGAGCTCCAAACTCTGCGTCTCTCAGCACAGGCACAGCCTGTGTCAGAAACAACGAAGCGCCTTTCTTTTCCACTGGGCAAACAGACAACATAACAAACTGGCAACCAGTGTAACTTCAACGCGAGCCGCGAGCACGACACCGGCGGGACAGCGGGGGACAGCGGGGCACCGCCACCCAGTGACACCGCACCGCGCGCGGAAAGCATCGGCCGCCAGACCTGCAGCAGGGCTGCGCAGCCGCCGCGTCCCCCGCGGGCCCATGGTCGCCAGGAGGCTCTGAAGCCGCGGGCAGCGCAACGCTCGAGCTCCGAG